GCCTTGATGGTGAAGCCCTTGGTTTACATGCAAAAGATCCCAAGTTCAATACCCACCATCTCCAGTTGAAAGGATCACGTAGAAGAGGATGTAAAAGACCCTGACTGGAGAGACACTGCTTGGCAAAGTTGGCAATACTGACCTTGATAGCCCACAGTCTGACTCACTATAAAGCAGCTTCATGTGTTCATCCTACCAAATGCCCAAATCATGGGACATGGACCAGATATAGTAGAGAATAAACAAGGACAAGGCCCAGTGAGGCCAAGCTGATGGAAGAGACGCTTCAGGCAACTTTGTGTGTGTTCTTGAATTAAGAGTGTCCTGGGATTAGGAAGTGAATACTAAGAATCATATGGAGGAACAGGTATTGTGTGTCTTAGCCCTGACCACATCCCTAAGGATACAACTGGCAAAGAGCAGAAACAGATAAAACACAATGAAAAACCATGAAAGAAGCAGAATAGGTTGATTTTATCCTCAAGACTGCCGAATGAGCAAGATTATGCCTAAAACACATGCTCTGGTTATAGGTTTAATCAACAGGAAGTGGTACACTTTCTTGCTAACGTGCATCTGACAAGTAACAAAGATTTGCTGTAGTTCATGAAAGCTTATGCCGGAATAAAATCTTGTCAGTCTTGAAAGAGCCACAAGACCCCTGTTTACTGTTACTACGTCCTACCACTGATCCATGGCTGAAAAAGGGGTATCGCGGGTTTGCTGTCTTATTGTTACGAAAGGATTTGTCAGTCTGGCTTGACCTAAGGTACACCACCAGGTGGGACTAGAAGACTGCTTTGTTCCTCAGTGGGTATGAATGCCGATAGCTCTGTTCAAGAACCTAAGAGCTTGGAGGCGATGACCCCTCTTGTGTGTCATGTGTGTTTGTGAAGAAACAATGGCTTGAGTTGAAACAGAGGCATTTTCCAGACAGCCTTAATCATTTCCCTTTGTCATTTCCCTTTGTCTTCATTTCCACACAGTTGGGTTAGCAACCCCTTGCTGTCCCAGCTTTTCAATATCCCCCCCCCCCCGCTCTTTCTGAAACCTGTTTTCCCACAGGTGAATGGCAGACTCAGACAAGTATGAGATGGCTAAAGCTGAAGGATCACCCTCTCTCTTTGTCTCTGTCTCTGATGCAGAACGGTGGCTCTTCACCCATGTCGGAGTGCCTCATTGCCGTCTCCTTTGCTCTACTTACATATTTGTAAACAAAGCACCACAAGTCTCTAGTGCTCCCTCATCCAAAGAGAGCCAGCCCTCAGCGGTACTGATCCTGGGGCTTCTCACCACTCAGAGAGGTATGAGTTCACTACCCGCGATGGCACTCTTCTGTCACCTTCATCTTGGTACCCTTGTGGCAGATTGATATAGGTGTAATGAAAAAGGTTTATTGTATGGTTTGCCTGTCTATGAGTGTATTCCCAACAGCATGATGTGACAGACTGTAATAGGAACCCTTTTATTGTTCCAGATGTATTTCTATGTTATCCTTTTTATTATAACCTATCAATATAAATGTATACCAGTACCATACCAAAGATGGGGATCTGGTCCATCACAGTCCTGTATTCACACAAGCTCGTCCACGCCAGCAGCCATCTGACCATGACAATCAGACCAGTTGGCCTGGGTGCAGTCCGCACTCACTCAGAAGTAAGTTACATAACGGTTACTGGATATACAAAAAAAGAAAATGCATTTAAGATGTGGAGACGTAAATGCACACAGACAAGGTCAGAAAGCTGAGATAGAGGCCCTGTGCCTGATGTTCTAAACCTGTTTTCTGAGGTGGAGCTGCGGCTGAATGGTAGTTAGAAGGTCCCAGCTTCAATCCCTGCCACCTCCAGTTGAAAGTATCTTGTAGAAGGTGATTTATCCATTATTTATTTAGTTGACTTCATTTATACCCCACCTTTCTCCCCAGTGGGGACTCAAATTGGCTCTCATCATTCTCCTTTCCTCCGTTTTATCCTCCGAACAACCCCGTGAGGTAGGTTGGGCGGAGTGTGTGACTGGCCCACAGTCACTCAGTTAACTTCCATGGCAGAGTAGGGATTCAAACCTGGGTCTCCCAGATCCCAATCTGGCACTCTAACCACTGTGCTGGGACTAACCTCAACTCTGGAGATCCATTGTAGGGCAGTGTAGACAGTACTAATCTTCACAGGCCAATGGTTTGATTCAATACAAGGAATTGTGCTCTCTTATTACCTACAACTCTGGTCATAAACCAGATTGGCTGGTAATACAGCAATCAATTTTACCGGTCTTATTTCGTTAAATTTAATGGGCAGCACTGCCCTCTTTCAAACTATGTCACCCCAAGAGTCCACTTGGTATAGTTGCCCTGACTCTGCTGGTCCTATCCGACTTGACCTAAGGCTGTGGAATCTCTGTGTCTTGTCATATTTGTATCTCACTCTTCCTCCACAGTGGCTTACGAGGTTCTCCCCTCCTTACAACATCCTTGTGAGGTAGGTTAGGCTGAGAGTGACTGGCCCAAGGCCACTCAGCAAGTTAGGGATGCCAGCCTCCAGGTGGGACCTGGGAATCCCCCAGAATCACAGCTCATCTCCAGACTACAGAAATCGGTTCCCCTGAAGAAAAGGGATGCTTTGGAGGATGGACTCTGTGGCATTGTACCCCAATGAGGCCCCTGTCCTCCCCAGGCTCCATTCCCAGATCTCCAGGAGTTTCCCAACCTGGAGCTGGCAACCCTAACCCCCCATTGGCCAGGAGGGACCTGGCAATTCTAAGCAAACTGCATGGCAGAGTGAGATTCTCCCCCCCCCCCATCTTAGTCTCCGACCACTACAGATGTTCTGCTAAGCAACCAGAAGTTACTGCTTTTGTCTTTAATTAGAAAACGGATTGTCATTTTACTTCTTCTTTTTTTTGCTTCTCAGACATGTACTTTTAACTCTCAAAAAAGTTTTAGGAGAAAGGGTTAATGGTTCCTGCCTATGCTCTGGTCCACCCTCTGACCTGACCATTTGACAGCACTTTTTTTCTAACCTGAGTGGCTGTCCAGGCCGGTTCTACCTTCACTCCAACCTCAGCATAACTTCAACGAGCAATTTGACATCTGGCAGATGTAATTAACAAAACTTGTAATGGGTTATAGGGCTTCACTGAACTAGACACTGTAACATCTAGCATGAACTTTTGATGTTGGCTTCCTTTCCCTCCATGTAGAATAGCCTCTTGGGGCTACCTGTCCCAGCTGTGTTTCAGACCATATGTGACTTTCTCTGGAGCTCTCTCCTGAAGGAGGGGCCGTGGCTCAGTAATACGAGCATCTGCTTGGCATCCAGAAGTTCCCAGGTTCAATCACTGGCATCTCCCATTGAAAGGTTCAGGTAGCAGGTGATGGGGAAGACCTCAGCCTGATATCTTGGGGAGCTGCTGCCAGCTTGAGAAGACGATACTGACTTTGATGGACCAGTGATCTGATTCAGGAGGTTGACAGCTCATTGAGTGACATGTGCAATGTACCTCTTAACCCTGAGTAGGATCAAATGCCTGTTTTGCACACCAAAAGACACATAGAACCCTTTAGTTTAAAATAAGCAAAAGCAAAATATTGTTTGACTGGCATCTGCTGGTAATGTTTCTGCAGATGTGAAGAGATAGAAAACAATAAATTTAGTTTGCTTTTTTCACATTACTACTGAATGTATCTAAGATCATTTTGAATCATACTGTGAATCTTGTGGCTACCCCAATCAGATCTCTGGTTTTGTTCTTTACTGAAATCCAAAATGACACCACTGCCATGGTGTTTTTATTGCCTGCCATATTAAGGGCAGTTCTGCCTGTAACCACTGTCCAGCCAAAGAAGACTGCTTGGAAGTTGGCAAAGATCACAACAATTATTTGAGTTTCAGCAACTTTAATAGGAACAGAGCAATCAATGCAAAGTCCCTCCCTCCACTGGACACTTGCTCATTACACTAGCTGGTTTATGAGGAACAGAGCAATCAATGCAAAGTCCCTCCCTCCACTGGACTTCAGACGCTTGCTCATTACACTAGCTGGTTTATATATGAACCATTAAAATTTGAAATTTTAAAAACTACCAATTTTACTATAGATCTAAACATTCATAAGACAAAAGCAGAGCTTTAAAAACAAAAACATGTCTGAGGATTTGTGAAGAGCTATATACATGCAATACCATTGTGGAATTATAGAACAAGAACATCCTGAAAAATTAGCACCATAGTTTGCAGGTTCGGTTCAATTCAGTTTTTATTATGGTCCACAGGCCATTCAGAAGCAGAAAATAATTATTATAATGTGTGCTTCAATTATTCTGCTACAAATTCATAGTTGATTTCTTCTTTGTTTAGCCTTGAAGGAACTTCAGTCTGCATTCAGATTTGCTGACATATACACAGCACAGAAACACAATTATGCTTGTCATATTTTTTGCGTACAAAATATAGATACAGTTCAGTATAGATACAGTACAAAATATAGATACAGTTCATAGTCAGTGTGTCTAGTTTTGTTGGGACAAACTTATAAGTGTTCGCATGGCACAGACAACATCTGAGATAGGTATCACAAAATTTTGTACATCAACCCCTTGATCCTTAACAGTGCAATCCTAAGCAGAGTTTTATCTTTCGAAGTACACTGAAGTCAATGGGTTTAGAAGGGTATATCTCTGTTTAGGATTCTACTGTCGATCACTAAAACATTTCAGAGAATATAGCTATAAGCAATGTGATTAGTTTAAAACAAAAAACCCTGCCCAAATTCCATTACTCTGCTTTAAAACAGGATACCCCTGCCCTTTCACACAAAGTTCTGCAAGCATCTGAAATTTTTAGGAGTAAAGAACGGGTGATAAACCCTGACCCTCTAGCCTGAAAATGTCTTCTTCACAAATTAAATAGATGGGCTCCAAGCAAAACAGATTATCAATGTCTGTCTTCTATCTCAAGTTAAAGTCATGTTATGTTCTTTGCAGTGAAATGTTGAAAATTAAAGAGTTTTTGAAGGTCACTGGTGCAATTCAGATGGCTTAATCCATTCAGCAGCATTACCTTCAGTACATGGATCCATCCTCGTATGGACCTGTGTGAAAAGAATGAGCCCTTGGGCTGGAGGGTTCGATCCTGCTGTGGTAAGAACAGTACTTCTTGCACAAGAGTTTCAGGTGCCTTCTGAACTTCACCCCCACAAAGACATAGAGCACTGGGTTGAGACAACAGTGGCAGAAGGCAATTTTGCGGCTGATGTCAAAAGCGAAGACAACTTGCTTGGTGGAGTCACAGCTAAGTTTTATGATAAGCATGTATGACAAAAAATCCAGGAAGCCAAGCACATTGTAAGGTGCCCAGCTCAGGAAAAAGACAAGCACTATGGCAAATATGAGTCTCACAGTCCTGTACCTCTTTTGAGACCTTGATCCTAGCAGGATCTTAATCATCCGGATGTAACAAATGGCAATAGTAGAAAATGAACACAGAAAAAAAACAAATTGCTGACACAGCTCTACAAACTTCCAAGTGGTATTTATGTACTCACACTGCAGTTTGCCTTTGTTAGTCACTACCTGTGTAAAAATGATTTCAGGGACCGTGACCAACACACTGATGGACCAAATGGCCAAGCTCACCAGAACGCTGCGTTTTTTTGTTTGCGATCTCAAAGTCGATAAGGGGTCTACCACGGACAGGTATCGGAAGATTGTCATTATGGTGAGGAAGATAACACCGCCGTAGTAGCTGACAGAGAAGGTGGCACTGACAACCTTGCAGAGAAAATCACCAAGAATCCATCCATAGTAATAGTAGGCAATCCAGAAGGGCAGCGTGCAAGAGAAAGCCAAGTCAGTGATGCAAAGATTAACAATGAAGAGATTTGTTAAGGACGTGAGGTTTTCGTATTTCACTAGGATCCACAAGACAAGGCTATTTCCTAGCAGACTGAGAAGAAAAATCAGAGAGTACAGGATGCTGGTGAACATAGTGCTAAAGCTGTAGAGGTCGTCCATTTGGCACCAGTTAGGTACAAGCGTGTCGTCATAAGGATAAGAATCAGATGGCAGGGACATGTTCTCATAGTCCAGAAATTCAGTCTCGTTCATTGTTAGTAGTCTTGCACGCTTCTGTAGCAGGTAGGAAACGACACCCTCTCTGATCCAACAGTAAAACGTGCTACTGTGACAAATACACGAATTGTGAAAGAGGTAGCAGAACCAAGTACAAGTCCAGTGGCACCTTTAAGACCAACAAAAGAGGCAGTGAAATTTCACGTCAATACCACTGACTCTTTGGGTGGGGGTGGGGCAGATTTCAGATTTGCGGGCACCCTATTGTAAACAGCCAGAGATTTGAACAAGATAGACATGATTCAAACCATTGAAAAGTCTAGAACAGTTAATGAGAGTAGCTATTAGAACAAAGACTACATAAAAAAAAATACAAGACTCCAGGACCAGAGGTCTTGTTGGAAGCAAACAGTTGATGAAGAAGAAGAAGAAGAGGAGGAGGAGGAGGAGGAGGAGGAGGAGGAGATTGGATTTATATCCCGCCCTTCACTCGGAGTCTCAGAACAGCTTACAAACTCCTTTCCTTTCCCCGCCTCACAACAGACACCCTGTCAGGTAGGTGGGACTGAGGGAGCGCATTCGAGAACTGCTCTTTCAAGAACAGCTCTGACAGAACTATGGCTTGCCCAAGGTCATCCAGCAGCTGCAAGTGGAGGAGTGGGGAATCAAACCCGGTTCTCCCAGATTAGAGACACTTAACCACTACACCAAACTGGCTGTATGTAGAAATAGTCAGAACGGGGTGTGTGTGTTAATCTAACACCAGCTTCATACATGAAGAAGAAAAATGATGTAATGAGTGGCACAGATCGGGAGCTAGACGGAAATTATACAACTTCAGGTTGCAGGTGGAGGATCACATTCTGAAATGTCTGTCAGTGATAAAAACTCCCCACAAACAGTTGTTTTAAAAAATGCAAACCAGCTTTCAAAGGCTAGCTGGGATCCACCAGCAGTCATTCAAATCAGTATCATCCATTCTACCACCTCAGCATTCTACCACTACATCCTCTTGCATGTGTAAACCAGGGATTATCAATTCAGACTGCAGAACCCATCTCAGTGAGAAGTTTTACATGCCAGCTGCAACAAGTTGCTAGCGAGCTGTTGTGTGTATGGCTCAATTAGGATTTTCAGCGTCAACCTGGGTGTGTCAGGAAACAAGGAATGGAGAACTGTGCAGTAAATTTGAATCATCACTTAATGCAGTGCACACCAACACTGGCTCCTGGCTCGGGGGGTACTGGAGTGGGCGAAAAAATGGAAAGTGATCTGGCCAGGGCCTGCAGGACTCCGAAGGAGGACTCTTCAGGAAGGGGATGATGAACTTCCTTCAGGGTCGGGGACAAAGGGTGGCAGTTGGGGAACAGCTATCCGGAAGGCACCCGCTAAATTGCAGAGTGCCCCAAGGAGCGGTGCTCTCCCCAATGCTGTTTAACATCTGTATGCAGCCCCTTGTTCAGACTGCCCAGAGGTATGGACTGGGTTGTCACCAATATGCTGATGACACCCAGGCCAGCTCTATCTGTTGTTGGACAGCCAGTCAGACTCTAGTCCTGGAGATCTGGACCTGGTGTTGAAAGCTGTGGCTGGTTGGCTTAGACTGAGTCGACTGAAATTGAATCCAATGAAGATGGAGGTCCTGTGCCTGAGTCGGAACGGCCCAAGGTTAGGGATCCCTCTCCCGACCTTCGATGGGGCACCGTTGGTGCCAGCGCTGGAGGTTAGGAGTTTGGGAGTGCTCCTGGACACCTCCTTAATGATGGAGGCCTAGGAACCAGCCACTGCGAAGTTTGCCTTTTACCACCTATGGCTGATTAGGCAGTTCCCTTCCTTGAACACTATGACCTGGCAACAGTGATCCACACAATGGTCACCTCGAGATTGGATTACTGCAATGCTCTCTACATGGGGCTGCCCTTGTCCCAAATCTTGAAGCTGGTGCAGAATGCAGCGGCGAGGCTGTTGTTGTGTCTTCCTGTGCGGGAACACATCCAACCCACCCTAAAAGCACTGCACTGGCTGCCTATAGCATACCGGATTCGGTTTAAGGTGCTGGCTCCTACCTTTAAAGCCCTTTATGGTTGGGGACCTACTTACCCAAGGGACCGCCTTTCTCCACATGTGCCCCAGAGAGCACTAAGATCAGGATTCCAAAATCGCCTGGTTCTCCTGGGCCCTAAAGAGGCCGGGCTGGCCATAATGAGGGCCAGGGCCTTTTCTGTGGCAGCCCCTCACTGGTGGAATGAGCTCTTGGATGACATCAGGGTCCTGTGGGACCTTCTGCAGGGCCTGTAAAACAGAGCTCTTCCACCAGGCTTTCAAGTAGGGTGCCGCCTTAACATCATGGCCCTGGCCCTAACATCAACGTCACCACCAACTGGACGACTAACAGCCTGGCAGGAGCCTGGACTAGGGAATAGGCAGCCATTGAAATGCTACAGAATGTCACTATTATGAACTGAGATCGAGGCAGCTCTTAACCAAGTGATTTCATTTTATTCAGCTCATAACAACACTAGACAAAAATAAATAGAACAAGGCTGACTTATATGATTTGAATGGGCAAAACCACACCCCACAAACAGATAACAACCAATCAGAATACGGAGCTTGGAACCAATGAAATTGGTTCCCGCCGAAGTCAAAGGCTTCTCTGATTGGCCTATTTATCAATCCATGTAATGCTAAGTCCTAATGGAACCGTGCTCAAGCTAAATCAATGCTTTATCGACTTAATACGTAACAGTCACCATCTCTCATTATAGGTATGTGTTGAGTAGTTAAGGTTTTATATTATAATCTTAACTTTGTTTTTAGCATATTTTTGGAGTTTTAATGTATACATTTATATATATGTTTGTTAGCCGACCTGAGCCCGCCATGGCAGGGAGGGCGGGATCAATGTTCCCTCTAAGCTGTGGAGTCTCATGAGCAAAAATTCTACTTTGTGAGCAACTGGCATTAAAGTTGTGAGCAAGCGATTTGGCTACTGCATAAATTAGTTTGCTCTGGAGCCATCCTTCCTGAGCTAAGACAAAAATCTGTGAGTCGGAGGCTAAAAAAATGTGAGCTAGCTCACTGGGCGGGATATAAATTTAATGATAAAATAATAATTGTGTGTCTCAATGCTGTTTTTGGTTCAATCGCTGAACACAGAAGAATGTGAGAAATACTATTGCTGTGTGCCGCCATTTCAGTTCAAAGATAATGCCAGGAGGAACAGACCTCATGTTTCCCTGACCCCTGCTGAGCAGGTAGCTGAAATAGAGCCATCTAGCCATCTACAGTGATGGCTCTCAAGCACAGCAGAGAGCAAAGAAGAGTGGTTGGATTTATACCCCACACTTCACTATCCGAAGGAGTCTCAGAGCAGTTTACAGTCTCCTTTCCATTCCCATCCCCACAACAGGCACCTGGGATGCAGGTGGGGCTGAGAGAGCTCTCTCGAGAACTGACCTTGAGAGAACAGCTCTGAAAAATAACTTGTGACTGACCCAAAGTCACACCAGTAGCTGCATGTGGAGGAGTGGGGAATCAAACCCAGTTCTCCCAGATTAGAGTCCTTGCTCCTAACCACTACACCAAACTGACTCTACTGTAGCACAAAGGCTATGATGCTTGGTCACAATTGTCACAGGCCCTGATTCTAGAGAGCCTGGCTCTTCAAATCTAAATTGGCTTGTGCTTTCTCATTGCCTGTGTACTCATTAACAGTTTTTGCAGATATAAACATTTATTTAACTTAGGCACACTGTAGAAAACCGTAACTGACCCCTGCTTCTGGAAGTGTTTTCACATCATGCAGATGATTAGTACCCTCAACACTGTCTCTAGGGATGCCAAGGACTTCTCTGTGAAGCCAGCAGAGCTTACCGTGGTCAAACTCCTCACTTCACACACAAATTGAGCCCTCTCACCAGATTGCCTCAGGCTCAGAGATGCTGTTCGGTGTCTGACTCAAATGCCATTTTGAGCAGTTTTGTGTCTGCTTCAGCTCTCCCTTCCATTAACCCCCAACCCCAGATGGCTTTTTTTAAAATGGCAACTGATACATTGATGAAGAAGAGAAGGAGGAGATTACCCGAAGGCGTCTCAGAGCAGTTTACAATCTCCTTTCGCTTCCCCTCCCCACAAGAGACACCCTGCAAGCAATGCTCCCTCTAAGCTATGGAGTCTTGGGAGCAAAATTTCTACTTTGGGAGCGACTGGCATTAAAGTTTTGAGTGAGCGATTTTGCTACTGCATAAATTAGTTTGCTCTGGAGCCATCCTTCCTGAGCTGACGAAAAAATGTGTGAGCTGGAAGCTAAAAAAATGTGAGCTAGCTCACACTAACTCAGCTTAGAAGGAACACTGCCTGTAAGGTAGGTGGATCTGAGAGAGCTCTTTCGAGAACTGCTCTTCCAGAACAACTCTGAAAGACTGACCCAAGGTCACACCACCAGCTGCATGTGGAAGAGTGGGGAATCAAACCCAGTTCTCCCAGATTAGAGTCCATGCTTCTAACCACTACACCAAACTGGCATAATAACATTATAATGATTCATATCTACTAGCTCCTCTGAATCCCCAGGTTTCATTTTTGTCAAAAGTAAGTCTCTAGGCCTTTTCATTACAGATATATGTAATAAAGCCCCCCAAAGCCTTCTAGTGGTGGTGGTGAGCAATGACAGCTGTGGGGATGAGACAAGGAAAGTGCAGGGAAAAGGTTGTGTGGATGCTCCGTTGCCACTGCAAATACCTCTGCAATGGCATTGAATGGCACTGAAAGCTACAGAGAGAATGGTTGCCCTGTGGATGCAGCCACAGACATCACCGTAGGAGTAAGTCTCAACACAAATTGCCAATATACTTTTTTTTCTTTTTTAGAAATGTGCCTTTTGAGTTGAAGGTGGTGGTGTTTCCTGCTGTGATGAGTGGAGGGTGGCAGCTCAGGGAAAGCACCATGTAATCATGCATGTAGTTGTCTTTTCCCTGCAACACATTTTATGCAGGCAAAACAGTTCTGGCATCCTGCAAGCAGGACATAAACCA